CTTTTTCAGAAGTGGGTGGCCAAGTCTTTCTTCGTAGTCTGTTGTAGTCTGGAAGCTCTGCTGAAACCTGTCCGCCATGGGTGACCCTGCTAGTATTTGAAATACTGGTGTCATACCTTTCAGCATCACAGCAACATGCAGCTGCCACAATATAACAAGTGACAGATAGTTGATTCCCTGACGGGCAAATGAATACGGGCCACAGTGGTGAGAGAGCCGAATCCTAACCACTAGATCACCAGGGCTGGCTCCTAAAATTTGTGTGGAACCACAAAAGACCTCGAATAGCCAGAGCAGTCTTGAGAAAGAAGAACAAGACTAGCAGCATCATGCTCCCTGATTACAAACTATACTACAAATCTATAGTAATCAAAACAGTATGGTACTGGCATGAAAATAGACACATAGATCAATGGAATAGAATAGAGAGCCCAGAAATAAACCTACATGTATATGGTCAATTAATATATAACAAAAGAGGCAAGAATATACAATGGAGAAAAGACAGTCTCTTCAATAAATGGTGTTGGGAAAACTGGACAGCTACATGCAAAAGAATGAAACTGGACCATTATCGTACACCATATACAAAAATAAATTCAAAATGGATTAAAAACTTGAATGTAAGACCTGGAACCATAAAACTCCTAGGAGAAAACATAGGCAGTCAGCTCTTTGATGTTGGTCTCAGCAATATTTCTTTGGACCGGTTTCCTCAAGCAAGGGCAACAAAAGCAAAAATAAACAAAAGGGATTACATCAGATTAAAAAGCCTCTGCACAGTGAAGGAAACCATCAACAAAACAAAAAGGCAACTTACTGAATGGGAGAAGATATTTGTAAATCATACATTCTATAAGGGGTTAATATCCAAAAAATACAAAGAACTTACACAACTTAATATCAAAAAAACAACCAACCCAGTTAAAAAATGGACAGAAGATCTGAATAGACATTTTTCCAAAGAAGACGTAGAGATGGCCAACAGGTACATGAAAAGGTGCTCAACATCACTAATCATCAGAGAAATGCAAATCAAAACCACAATGAGATATTACCTCACACCTGTCAGAATGGCTATCAGAAAAACAAAAAATAACAACTGTTGGCAAGGATGTGGAGAAAAGGGAGCCCTTGTGCACTGCTGGTGGGAATGAAAATTGGTGCAGCCACTATGGAAAACAGTATGGAGGTTCCTCAAAAAATTAACAATAGAACCTACTATATGATCCAGCAATTCCACTTCCGGGTATTTATTCAAAGAAAATGAAAACACTAATTCAACGAGATATATCCACCCCTATGTTCACTGCAGAATTGTTTACAATGGTCAAGATATAGATGAATGGATAAAGATGTGGAATATATGTACAATGGACTATTTCCTCAGCCATAAAAAAGAATGAAATCTTGCCATTTGTAACAACATGGAGGGAACTAGTGGGTATTAGGCTAAATAAAATAAGTCAGATAGATAAAGGTAAATGCCATATGATTTCACTTATATGTGGAATCTAAAAACAAAACAAATGAACAGAACCAAACGGAAACAGCATCATAGATACAGGAAACTGGTGGTTACTGGGGGGGGAGGGGTTGTGGGCACAGGTGAAATAGGTGAGAGGATTAAGGGGTACAAACTATAAAATAAATGTCATGGGGATGTAATGCACAGCATAGGGAAATAGTCAATAATATCATAATAACTTTGTATGGTGACATGGTAACTAGACTTATTGTGGTAATCATTTTGTAGTGTATATAAATACAGAATCACTATGATGTACACCTGGAACTAATAGGATATTGTACATCAATTATACGTCAATAAAAACAAGCAAAAAACATTATGAATAAGACAAAATCTCTTTTGACTAGCACTCCCAAACTAGTGCTCTTCTCAAAGGTAATCCCTATTTCTATTTGGTATGTATCCCCCAGATTTTTGTTTGTGCATTACATTCATTCATACGTACACATATACATGCTTACACACTTACACACATACATATGGATGTATATACTAGTAGAGAGTATGCTTTTATGTTTTATTTTCTTTTTCTTTGTTGCATAAATGATATGTCTTAGGTTCTTGCTTCATCAGCTCGTGTAGATCTGTATTTTTCTTTTGAAATTGTACAGGTTCCGTGTTATGGACTTGCTATAGTTTAGCCATTCCCTGCTGATGGACATTGGGTTTTTTGCTATTGCAAAAAATGCCACATTGGTTATTATATGTATTTTTGTGCATGTATATATGTGTTTGTATTCTGGATGCTAATCATCAGTTTGTTAGACATAGAGCAAATATTTTTAGTCAAGCCTTTATGGGTTTTGTTCTTTTTTTGTGTGGTCTTAAGCAAATCTCTTTTCCTAAGATTATAGACATATTTTCTAATATTTTAATGTTTACATTTATAGATTTTTTTTAACATTTAGTTCTTTAATCCATTTGAAATTTATTTGGGGGAATGGTGTGAAGTAGGGACCTAAATTTATTTCTTCCAAATGGCTAGCAGTTGTTCCAGCCCCACTTATTGAATGGCGAATCACTGATTGAAAATACCTGTGTCCTTTACTACTATGACCACTACTAACCAAAATTTACAGTACATACTAGGACCAGACAGTATTCTAAGCACTTTCCAAGTATTATCTTTTAATCTTCACACCCACTCATTTTACAGTTGAGGAATAAGTCACAGAGAGGTTAAGTGATTGCTCAGTGTAACACAGCTGCTAAGTAGTGGAGCTGGGATTTTAATCCACAAGTCTAACTCCAGAACCCATGCTCTTAACCATATATAAGCATGAGATGTTTGAATTGACAGATTTGGTTGCCATTTCCCAGGCAGCCTGAGCTAATAATTGCTTAGATTTTCCACTTCTGGGATCATTTTTGCAAACTTAGCCCTGGAGAGATGGAGCCCAACTTGTGGGTTTTTTTTTTTTTTTTTAATTTTATTTATTTTTCCCCCAAAGCCCAAGTAGATAGTTGTATGTCATAGTTGCACATCCTCCTAGTTGCTGTATGTGGGACGCGGCCTCAGCATGGCCAGAGAAGTGGTGCATCGGTGCGCGCCCGGGATCCAAACCCAGGCCGCCAGTAGCGGAGCGCGTGCACTTAACCGCTAAGCCATGGGGCCGGCCCCCAACTTGTGGTTTTTAAAATTGAATGTAATCATGGAAATTTAGGGTAAATGCAAATAAAAACAGAGTATTTCCTCAGATTTATTTTAATACAATTCTGATAACAAAGACGGCATAGAATCTTTAAAATTTTTTAAGAATGTCCTCCATTTGAGGATTATGACCAATTATACTGAGTGAATTTTATTACTTGGTTAAGTAAATGTTGGTGCCACTAGGGGTTTTATTTAATATTGATATGGTTACCAGTTACTTTATTATTTTCTGGATTCCTCGTTCTCTTAGTCACTTAGTATAAATATGCAATGATAGAATGATTTTGTGATTTATAGCTAGACTAACCTGGAATGAAATTCCAGCTCTTGTACTTACTGTTTTTCCTTGGGCTAGTAATTGAACCTCTGTTTTTTCATCTTTAAATTAGGTATTTATGCTTAGGAGTGGTATGATATTTAAATAAGATAATATTTGTAAAATTCCTAGCAAGATACATAGTATGCAGTAAATATACTATACATTTTAATTTCCTTCTTAAAAAAATATGTGTATGAAAGCCCTTGGCTTAGGTTAATAATTTACTTTTCCCACATATATCTCTTATAGAGGAATACAGTAATTTTTATTTGGGAGATTTTAAGTGAACTACTTAAATAAGTGAGTTAATTCTTAACTAATTTTTATGAATAGATTTCTGTCTCAAATAATTGTCAATTCAGTGTTTTCAAATAATTTATTTCTGTTATTTCTTTTTGTTTGACCATTCTAGGATATGTAGACAGTTTTTTCCAAAAAAATGGTTTTAAGGCCATCTCAGTCTGTGAGATGGCATACTACAATTTAAATATTTTCTCCTTTAATATTTCTGAACGTTCTTTTAAAATCAGCCACTTAGATACCACGTCATTATATATACAATATTAATAGGATGAATTGTTGAATCAGGTAGGCTCTGAGGCTCCTTGTAACTCTGAGATGCTCTCATTCTTGTAAGTGTGCATTATCTAAAAAATTTTTCCTGGGGCCAGCCCCGTGGCCTAGTGGTGAAGTTTGGCTTGCTCTGCTTTAGGGGCCTGGGTTTGCAGGTTCAGGTCCCAGGCGCAGACCTACACCACTCATCAGCCATGCTGTGGCAGTGACCCACATATAAAATAGAGGAAGAGTGGCACAGATGTTAGCTCAGGGCTGATCTTCCTCAAGCAGAAAAAGAGGAAGATTGACAACAGATGTTAGCTCAGGGCTAATCTTCCTCAGCAAGAAAAAAAAAATTTCCTAAAACAGATGTCAAGTTCGTCTTTCGTTTTTATTAGATGTCAAGACACTAGTCTCCAAATAACTTTGCAGTTGTATGCTTTATTAAAAAGCTTAATGAACTATTTTATATGGTAGGTTGTGAAATATGTTCCTTTAATATTAAAATTTTCTTGAATAATTTAGAAATTACATTAAATTGAGTAGTTTTCTGTATTATCATTTATAACTATCAATATATTGTGTTGTAAATTTATGAAAATGCTGATGACGTCTGACCAATGCCCACGTGAGAGATTACAATAATAAATTATTAATTTTTATGAACATATTTGGTGTCAAGTAAGCAGCATGTGCTATAAATATGTATTTTGCAGTTGAATAGGAAAGTCTGTTTTTCAGTTAAGTGGGTAAGTGTGGTATGGGTCACTGTAACTTTTACCAATCACATGGAAACACTTTTATTAACAATTTATAAAATAAGAATGATAGATGACTTATTCTGTTTTGATAAAATGGGAAGAGATCTTAAGTTACAGTCACGCAGTGTGTTATGAAATGAAGGAACGTGATGTTTTGTTTCTCCCTCGTTTCTCATCCAGGTGCAGCGGTGGCGGGTATTTACAGGGTGGCAGGGAAGAACATGGCCCCTTTGGAAGCGCTGGTATGGGGCGTCGGACAGACTGTACTGACATTAATCATCTCCTTTTCAAGGATCCTCGCTACACTTTGACGTTTCTGTGGGAACGTCTTACTTCACAAAAGGAAACAGATGTACAGATTCTCTGAAAATGGCGTTGTTAACAAGTGGGAATGAAGCTGTACAAGAACGTGGAAGGAGCAGGTCAAACATAAGGCGTTGAGCTGTGTGGAAAGATTGCCCTCTGGTGTTCAAGAGATTGCACTACCGCACTGCACCTTACGTGCCTCCGTCCCAGGCAAGGCGCATTACGCTATGTGAAGCTACAAGAAAAAGCACCTTGTTTAGCTGCCAATCAGGTTAACATTGGAATCATCGTTCTTAACAGTGTTAAGTTACAGGGACGTTATGAGGAATTGATATATGTGCCAAACTTTTCTTTTTTTAACATTGATCATGTGACAACTTGCAAGTATAGATGTAGATGAGTGCTGTGAACATATTTGACATGAATTCAGGTAATGTAGAGAGATTTGTAACGCTAAATCCCGTATGAGTGCTGAATACATTTAATATGAGATAAATTATTTGATTTTTAATGTTGAATGTTTCTGGGATTTAGGGCTTTAATGTGTTTAGGCATTATTGTTGTTTAATTTATGTGGAAAATAATACTTAATGGAAAACTAGCTAAACTCTTTTAAGGACTCCAAGTAGATCTATAGGGTGCATCCTTTTCAGTCCCTTAATTAACGGTCTTTTAATAGTTTCCCTTATACATCAATGTTCTGTTGATAAGAATTCAACAACTTTGTGAGTCACACGTATTGATTGTAGTTTGTGTGTCATAAAAATATAATTTGAAAATTTTACTATAAATTTTGTGAGAAGTCTGAAATGCATGTTGCATTCTTTGATCCTTCTAAAGAAAGTTCTGGCTATGTATTTCATGGCGAAAACATCTTTATAAAGAGTATCTCAGTGGGATTATATTACTTGTTACATATGTCTTGATTTTTGACAAAATGTAAACAGTCTTTCATTCTGGAGTATTAACTACATTTAAAGAGTGGCCTAAATTAGGCTGTGAAAACAAAAAGCCTCGTTTGTAGATAAGTAACAAGTAAGTTCTATAGGAAGAGTAATAAACAGTCTTACTTAGGATATGTGGTAATGTAATTTCACTAAGTAAAAATGGGGGAATTTAGTAAATAACTTTAAAATTTGTCAGTTCATCTCAGCATATCAATACAGTACTGAACATATATTTGAGTGGTTCATTTCAGTTGTTCAGTTCTTGATTTATGTTTTTATTTAAGTTTACTAGAATCAGTGATGACATTTATTAGAAATGAAAAAGTCTGTAGTGTAAAACATTTTAAGAGGTTTTGGCAATATATAATTGTTTTTAAGAGTACGGGAAGTAAGGGAAACAGAACCTGGTTGAATTTGTCTTCTACTGAGATTTTTTAACACCAGGTACAATTATAAATGTGCCAGTAACTCAAAGGAAGAGCCCCTGCAGAGAGTGTGAAGCTAAGGACAACTCAAAAAATAATCGGCACACTCTAGCCTCGCTGTTTTATATCCTGATTTGGTAAAAAGTAGGTTTTATTAGTCCCATTCAAATTTAAGACCTTCGTTACCCACACCGTTTTTCTCTGCCAGAAAGCAAATATATCAACAACTTAACAATGAGGAGTTGGGGGGATACTTTTACCAGTAGGGAAGCCAATTTTGGGAGTTTGCTAACACTGTGGCTTGGAAATTTGTTTAAAAAAAAAAAACCAATAAGTAGCTATGCATTCTTAGAGATCTTTGAAGTAAACCTTAAAATTGATTCCTTTTATTATGTACAAGCCTGAAATTATTTTCATGAGTTCTCTATATTCCTAATGTTTTCTCAAATTAAATTTAGGCATCAGTTTTCCAAGTCAGTTTGATTTCTCCTTTTCTGTTAGACTTGAATTGTGTTCTTTCTTTACTTTGGCTATTCTATCAATAGTTTAAAGTGTTCATACTCTTTGAGAGGGATTACCAATAACATGTTGAAATTGTATCAGATCCACAAAATGAATATTGATTTTAACATATTGTTATTTTATGATTTAAGGAAGTTGTCATGGTAAGGTAATATGGAGCACATGGTTCAAAATCCAAAATTAACCAAAAAATAACTTAGACCCATTATATGTATCAATGTGTGGACCAAAGAGATTTCAACTCCTGTTTTTACTCTAGAATGGAAGTATAATTGGATGGTTAATAGCTAGTTTGTAGAGTGTCCTACAATTATCTCATTATCAAGTTGCTTTACGTTACGAATTGTGTGTATGTGTATATGTGTATTTGTGTGTGTACTTTTAAATTGTGGGGGAATTTTTGGTTTGTTTCTAGTTATTTCCATTGGGATTTTGTGCAACTGTCACTCTTCTGATGTTTTGAAATGCAGTTGAATAGTGTGAATTGATGAAATTGTCTTAATAGCTATTTCTATGCTGAGGTTTTTAAAAAGTTAATGGTTTTCCTATAGAGACAAGAAATGGTTAATGATATATATCTACAGACACATATATATCATTATATACATATATATAAAGCTGCTATATGTGAATAGTCTAATTGGAAATCTTTTGTTCAATGAACACTTTCAAGTTCTAGTGGATAATTTGATATATTTGTTCAGTTGAATGACCTTTTAAGTAGGTTTGAGGATGTTTGAGATTTTTGAATTTTGGGAAATTTGTCTTGGTTTAATAGTGCTGGAGACCCTTGTTTGTGATATGACAAGAGCCCTTATTGAGGTATTTGGGTTACAGCTTCTTAAAATGTGTGTGTGAGTCAGCAGTAGATTTTCTTCATGATAAATGCAGGAAGGAAGGAGGAAATCCTCTGCAGTTTACACTCCTTTATTTAAAAAAATGTTTAATGAAATATTGCTGACAGTGACATCAATTCCCCAAAGAAGAGACTCCTATATGCCCTAACTAATGGTTATTTAACATACTGGTTAGAAATGTCCATAGGTCAGAGTTAGTCAGGGGGCCTCATGTAAGCTGCAGATAATGCTTAAAACCTGTAAATGAAGGAGATGCAAGCAAACAGCCCCCAGGGACAAGTCTGTTAGTTGCCTAGAGTAAAGGAAGTCCTAGATGGTGGCTGTATCAGGATTTGCAGCGTAATTATCCTCCCCTAGATCTCAATGTTTACTGAGCAGTGTTAAAGTTGGTTACCCAGTGTACTGTCTTAGTATTTACAGCATATATTTCCACTGCCCAAAAAAGTGTAAGGGTTTTATTTGTGCTTTAAGTGAGAAATAAAGAAGTAAGCTGCCCTGTCTATCGTGTATTTGTGATGTAAGGAACAGGGATAATTTAAAATCAAAGAATGTTGTTGGACAAAGTCTTCAGAGAATCTCTAATTAAGATGAGGAGAGTGGGGCTGCCATTCTTAATATGCCCAAGCTGACACTTACACACCAACTAGTGCAGTTTTGGAAACATTTTTGGTGGATCTACTATATACAAAGTCCTGTACTGAGTCTTTTCTATAGTAAGGACAAGGTTGACCATGATGGGATTCCTGCCCTTGAGTCCACCAGGAGCTAGCCAGATGATTTAAATCCTAAAAAAGGTTGGGACAACATTTTGCTTGCTGATTCTAGTTGAGAGTTTAAGTCCTGGTTTTTTTCCCCCAAATTCTGATTTTCCCAATTTATCCACCCAATGGAATATCAGTAACAGATGTCATTGCTGTGACATATTGAAGAGAATACTGAAGAGAATCTAAGCCAGTGACATAGATTTGAATCCAGGCCCTGTCACTTGTCGACTTTTTGTTTATGAATGGCAAAGCAGTACATATATTTGACAGTAAATAATCAATAGATAGTCATTAGAATTTTTAATCACATTTTGCAATACAAATTGAACATATCGTTTTGTAAAATTCATCTGTTTTCTTCCATTTCCACATTTTCCCTGCATATATTTTAAGAAGGAAACTAAAAAATTTCTCTTATAATCTTATTTTCTTTACCTCCACCTCTTTATTTTTAAGATAGCAGATATTTATCTAAGAGCACTTTTGGGAGTTGGTGGTGTGGAAATGGCCTGGGCAAGCAGGATTAAATTACGAGTGTGTTTACCACTAACTAAAATAGGAAAGGGTATAGGTAGCCAGCATTAACCCTTTACCTGATCCTGCTACTTGCCTTGGATTCATTCAGCCAACATTCATTGAATCTCTGCTACGTGCAACTTACTGTCCTTGTTTTAGGGATGGAAGAGTGTCTCCTCCATACGTCCACCTTTCTTCCTCCGCCCTGGGAACTTGGTTGTGCACTGTACTGCCAATTCTGTAGGGAAACAGAACTGGGCTTCAGTGTCTACCACGTCCTTCCTTCCATGGACCAAAGGTGCTTGAGCCCTAGTTTTACTTGTTTGTTTGTTAACTTAGAAGGAAATACTGTTGTTTTTAATTTATGTCCATTTTATAATTCAAGAAGTAACAAGATGCTGAGTACTTTCTGAAATAGTCTCAAACTACTTCACTCTTGCTGTTACGAATGTTTCTCCCAGAAAATCTTAATCATAATCTCTTCAAAGAGTCGTTACTTGTTTGTAAGATGTGAAGAATGTGGAAAGTTACTGAAGAAATTCTAGTAGACCCAGATTGCAGAGAAGTTTGGCAACACTTGCTGGAGATTGTGTGAACTGCTGTTCTTGTAATAATCAAGGGTGAGAATCTCAATGGTTAAAGTTGGCTAGTAATTGAACGGTCTCATAATTTCCCTGAAATTCCAGTCCTTTTTATAACATTTTAGAGGTAGATTCTCCAGGATAAAAAGGACATTATTTGATTAATGATGATAAAATTTTTCAAACGTTTGGTAGCATTTTGTAGCAGAGGGAAATTTAAAGACAAGAAGAATAAACACCGGGGGCTAATGCACAAAAACAAAGGCTTACGTGATGAAGTACCCCATGTTATGTGAACACAACTTCCCCGTTCTGTTAGGACTGTAGACTGCACTGTATGAGGATGTGGACTGCGTGTTTACAAAATGCTGTGTTTCTTTATGTGTGAGACTTAAATTACACGGAGCATTTTGAAATTATATTACATTTGTGCGTGTGTGGTGGTAGGTTTGCCCTGCTAACTTAAGGATCTCTATTCAGTGTAGGCAATACCATGTTTTTGAGGAGGCTGCTGAAGTAGTTATCTAAAAATGTAGTTGTGAATTTATTTGAGAGAAGTGATGTTTTCAGTAAATGTGGAGATGTACCAGTTACTACTTTATTAAATTAGTGGAAATACCCAAATTTCTGAGTGAACTGAGCTATGAACTATAACTGTCTCCTCCCCTGAGTTTAGGGGACTCATTTTCACATTCATTGCACATGTGTTGAACTTCCATAATAACCCTTTCTTGATTTTGAGAACTAATTTAGCAGTTTCTTTTTTTTTTAATTTTTTGTTTATTGTGGTAACATTGGTTTATAACATTGTATAAATTTCTTAATCTCCCTCCCCTTCTGCACAGATGTCATATGTTATAGTTTAAACATATGTACAGTTGATAGAAATCAGAAGTGCTGGTTTAGAAGAGAATGTTCTTAACACCTTATGGTTATGCAGCTATAATCTTATTGAAAAATAAATACTATAGGCAAGTCAAGAGAGCATGAACCACTTGCATATTTTTTTAGATTATATACTGCACCCATATAATGTATATCTCCCCTCAATGGTAATGTGACTGCCCCCTTTTGGGGGCTGTATTTAGGTATGTAACTGAAACTGGAAAGCAGTGTAACATAAAGTTATAGAAAGAGGAACTATAATGCATAATCAGGATAATTGCAACACTTTTTCTCCTAACTCTATTATGTATTGCTAATTTCTAAAAACCATCACTTTCCTTAGAGCCCTGTATAAATGAACGTTAACTCGATAGTACTACTGATGATGAAATGTTTCCTTTGTTTTTAAGTTAAAGTGTTTGTACATCATCACTATCTTTGGGAAGGAACATTTTAAAGTTTTCTCCATAGAAACCAAAATAGAGGCACTTGTTTGAAAAGTAAAAATGATTTACTTTCAATACTGGGTGCGTTGATAGTCTGTTGACACTTTTTTAGTATTTGTGATATAGGATGCATTTACAATGGAGGAATTTTTTAAAATTCTGGCCCTCTCCCCGACATAAACACACACACACACACACACACACACGAGCCCTATCGATTTAGATGAACAATATAAAATTACACAGTATTTTTCATTTTAGTCATATGACTTGGTAAAATTCATATGATTCTACCATAAAGTATTGACCCCTGACTAGTCATTCTAGATGAGAGGATCAACTTTATCTTAAAGTTAACCAACTACAATGTCTTTATTTAAATAGCAAAAATATAGTTTACCTGATAGGTATTAAAACTCACTTTCAAGCTGTGTCAACTCTTAGACCACTGATGAATCGTTTAGTGAACCACAGTATAGTTTTCGAAAGCTAAATGATGCCTTAGTGCCTTGGAAGTT